TTCACTTGGAATTATAGAAGTTGAAGAACGTAAAGTATAAATAAAAAACAATTTTAAAGTTAAAACATAAAGGATATTTTTAGATTATAATAGTGATCTTGTTGGTCATGATGGATGGTAAGTACACTTGAAAACCGTATTGAAATTGTCTACACATCACTCCTCCATCAAAGAACAGATAATTTATAAGTTCATTTTTAAAAATAAGAACTTTCAATGATTTGTTCTTAAGTGTTTCAGAAGTAATTAAAACACATTTTATGGGTTTCTATTAAGAGCATTTTTACTTCGTTCCACTGCTCACTTTTCAGGATCTAATAAATGCCAACTCTATACCGGTATATGTTTGAATTTTTGGTCATAATATGTAAATTATATGAAAACAAAATCAACTCTATAATTTTATTTAGTCAGTTTTTTTTTTTGTTTTTTTTTCGAACTTAATGACTCAAAATAATTATTTAATATGTTTAGTTTTCATGTTCAATCTGAATGAATAGCCTACTCAAATTTTTTTAATTACAATATTAATTCTAAGATAAAAGTTTAGACTGAATTCCATGTTTTGTGGCTAAATACATTAAGAAATTGGATACCTAGATTACATTTTGTAATTTAACCTTGTAGCAGTATAAGACAAAATGGCTGCTTGAAAAAATATCCTATTTTGTTAGGTCTGTTATTGTCTTATAAATTATTCGAGAAAAACTGTTATGGTTGTTAAAACATAAACACTTTTTTTTTTTTTTTTTTCTTGGTATCGGTTTTAAGATTATAATAGAGCTGTTAAACTTCCGATGCTTTTTTCTTAAAATTTAAAATCTTACATATTTATTCCCTTTTACCTTGCTATAGCAGAATTGAATAACAAACAACGAGACATCATTGACAATGGGATTTTTCTTGTTGAAAATACAGTTGTGAGTGGTCTCATATCTAAGATGGACATAGTCATTTTCAGAAAATGGAGAATAAGTCAACATAGACTCAACTCGTACTGTTTCTGATGATATTTAAATATGTTCTAGCTAAATCATGAAATAAAATCATTAGAATTGGTTTGAATTATGTTACATAATTGGCCTTTTCTCAACTTTTAAAACTGACAAATGTAAAGTGTTTGATATGAAAAGAATCAATTTTATGTCTTGTTTCTGGTTTAGTCTGTGATTTTAATTAATACTTATGAACATTAGATGTTTTAATTCAATAGTTCAATTCTTATGTACTCTGAACATTAGTTACATGAACTATGTAAGGCCTATTGTTTAACTGCTCAGATTTTGTTACTTATTTTCAATAATACATGTACTACTCATTTTTTTTAAAGGAAGATTTACACATAGAATTGTGTGTGAATTCGATTTTTACTTAAGTTCAAGTAATCATAATTTGCAGAGTTTAGGTTATTTTCTGAGTCTTATTTGTGAGGGTTCAATATTTAGGGAATTATTACTCTTGAACAGCTTAATTAAACCAAACATTTCATTATGCAATCTCATTAAAAGTTTTATAATTGGTATAAATGGGTCAAGTCTCGAATGAATCTAGGTTATCTGAGGCCTAAGCTGTTTGTGCTAACATAAGAGAAGCATTTTTTTTGGTTGATAATAAAAAGTAGTTATTTGTGAATTGAATGTAAATAATTATAGGCGGTTCTAATAATTACTTTTAATGTTCTTGACTGACCTTCATGGTTTGTGGTTTGCTGTTGTGTTTAGCAATAAATATTCAATTCTTAAAGCATCCGGTCCTGAAGAAATTTAGTTGTTTTTTTCTTTGAATGTTACAACCTAAGGATCATTATCAGGTTATTACACAAATTTGTTTTAACTCTACTATATTATGTCTGATAATCTTTCTTTTATTTTATTTTTTAGTTCTTATATTTTATTATGTTATTGATAATCACTATGTTGGCCTACATAGCATTGTCTTTCATTGGTTCTAGCCCATTATGATTCAGCTAAAAATCCATGTCCAATATTTAAGTTGTGTTATTAGTACATAATAAAGATACTAATTCTTATTACATAGTTTGATGCAGTTAATAAAATTATATATATATTACTACTATATATATATATATATATATATATATATATATATATATATATATATATATATCCACACATATATATATAATATTATTACTCTTAATATATATATATATATAACTCTACTATAACTATATATATATTAAGAGTAATAATATTATATATATAATAGAGTATATATATATATATATTAAGAGTAATAATATTATATATATATAATAGAGTATATATATATATATATATATATATATATATATATATATAGAGAGAGAGAGAGAGAGAGAGAGAGAGAGTAGTAATATATATATAATTTTATTAACTGCATCAAACTATGTAATATGAATTAGTATCATCATTATGTACTAATAATACAACTTAAATATTGGACATGGATTATATATATATATATACTACTATATATATATATCCATATCATGTATATATATATATATATATATATATATATATATATATATATATATATATATATATATATAGTAGTATATATATATATATATAATCCATGTCCAATATTTAAGTTGTATTATTAGTACATAATGATGATACTAATTCATATTACATATTATATATATATATATATATATATATTAATATTACGAATATATATTAATATACGAATATATTAATATTAAGAAGGTTTAGTTTGTAGAAATGATGTTTTATATATATATATATATATATATATATATATATATATATATATATATATATACTAATGATCAAGAATTTCAGTTAATATTAAGAAGGTTTAGTTTGTAGAAATGATGTTTTTTGTCTATCAATTTATTTTTATAGTATACCGTAGTAGTTTCCACTTTTAAACTTCACAAATAAAAGGTTGCAATTCTTACTCTTTGGGTTTGTAACTATTAAAATGAATAATAATACAATTTAATTTGTTTTTTCATACAAACAATAATAATAACATAGCAACAAAACAAAAAATAATGAAAGTAAAGGTAAACGTTTTTGGACGCTTTCTTTAAATATCAGTTTGTTACTTCTATTCTCATTATTTCTTGTTCTGTTATTTATATATGAACAATTAAATTATTATGTTATAGAACGTATGAATTAAAATACTAAATATTATTACTTTTTTGATTAGTTACAAATACTAAGTTAAGAGTAAGAATTGTAACCTTTTATTTTTCAAGTTCATGAGTTTCCAGAATCTTTTATTACTGTCTATAATTAAGTGGCATTTAACAGAAGGGTACCTTTGCACTAAAATGCAAAAATGAGCTGGTGGTTATTTATTTTTAATATCTCTTGTAAACGAAAATAAAATTTAAAATGGAATGTAACAATAAAAAAGTGAACAGAATTACATTTGTGACAAACGGAAAGCATGCAAATATTCCAAGGCCATTGCTAATTGATTTGCTACAACTAATGACTTATGTACTAAAAATATTTGCAATATGGATTTATTCTCTTCTATTCGATACTATCCAATTGTTAATATAGTGGTTTCTAAACACACCCCTAAATAAACATCCTTAATATCCTTAATCTAGTCGAAATAATTGCTATACATCAAATGCTACAGTTCGTTTCATTGATCCATATCTTTATAATTTCTAATCAATTACATAGTTAATATGAGGTATTAAGGCACCAACACAATGAAAATTGAATATTTTTATTGTGGGATAATGTTGGAAGAATGGTTTTTAATTTTTTAGGCTGTATATACAATTTACAGATTATAGCGAAAAGAATGGTGGTTAGGGTGATCAGTGAAAATAAATATTTATTTTATATTTGCCGTAGTTCAGGGCGAAGAAAAAAACAGATAACAATAAGTATGAGAAACTTTATACATTGAATAATAAAGAATTAAAATTAAAAAGGTGAAAGGTTTTGACTAAAAAATTTAGGTAGAATAAACATAAAGTAAAATAAACTAGGTATAATAATAATAGTAACAGAGAAGTAATAAATAAATAATAATAACTGCAACAAAACATGGACTAATGAAATGAACATAATCAAAATAAGGTAACAATAAGAAATGAAAAATGGTAATCTTAGGATTTAATTTTAAATGTTTACATTTTATTCTAAGATTACCATTTTAAATTTCTTATGTTAACTTATTTTAATTATGTTTATTTCATTAATCCATTATCAGTTATTTCTCTGTTATTGTTATTATTCTACCTACTTTATTTTAATTTACTGTTCACTCTCCCTACTTCATTTTACTTTTAAGTTTATTCTACCTATAGTTTTTAGTCTATACCTTTCACCATTTTAATTCTTTATTGTTCAATGTATATAGTTTCTCCTACCTATTGTTATATGTTTTTTTTTCTTAGCCCTGATGAAGGCCTGAACTTTAGGCTGAAATGTCGACAACTATAAAAATAAATATAATTATTTATTTTGACTGATCATCCCAACCATCAATCCACAATTACAGATAGAAGCACATGCTGTTTAATTCTTTCTTTGATGCTGACAATTATTTAGTTTTTCTTTACCTTTAAAAACATATTGTTTTGTTGTATCTCTTATAAAATCAGTTCAAATAGGCCCGACTTGTTAAAACTTTGAAATTTCTATTTCAAGACCTAACTGAATTTCAGTCTTATTTTTTTTTCATTTGTATAAATATCAACATTTTTGAGTAAAGTCATTTTAGTGGGAAAATTATATCTTTATTTACAGTTCTATATTTCAACTCTGGAATCGACTTGCTGTCTGCACAGATATAAATTTTCCAGCTAGAAAATATCACTAAAATAGTATCATTCAAAAATGTTGAAATTGGAGTTAGTCATTCTGTCAAGTGAAAGGCCCAAATAAATTTTTTTTGTAAAATAATGCATTCAAGGAAAGAAAACTTCTTTATTTATATAATTTTAAAATAAATGTTTAGAAATAAATATTATATATATTTTTTTTCTTTTACAGCCGCGCATTGATCCAAATCAGTTACTCAAATGCCTGAGTGTATTATTATCTCCTAATGGAGGCATCAAAAGCAAAGATGAAGTTCAGAGATTAGAAAGGTAAGACTTTTATTATTTTTTTTTTTTACATACGTATTTTTTGATTGGTAGGTCTCTCTGTTTAATAGTTTTATTGCCTTCTAAACATTTGTAAATAGTTAAACGTTTCCTAGAAACATTCAGTTTAGTTGTGATAGCCAGTTTATTAAGGGATGTGATATTGACTAATTTTTTACATTTACTTATTTTTACTCAGTCACTACATTAATTAAACACTTTCTTATCAATATACTCAACAGTTCTGTTAGTATTAGGGACGGGGTGTCAGAGCGAGCTAATGTGTGTGCACAGCACCGCCCAGCAACCTGATAACCGAAGTTATATGTGGAAAAATAGTTACGAGTTCGCGTCCTGGTGTCAGGTGGCTCTTTTAACTCTGACATTAAAACCCCTGCCCTCACCCCCTGGCCCGGAAATATCCCATATAGCCTAAAAGGCGAGTAAGGGGTTGACAAAATAATAGGAAAATATTGTTAAAGTATAAATTAAGTTTCATTTCAGAATTCAATCAGTCCAAAGAATTTAGTAAAATATACATTAAGAGTGCTTCCACATGTTATTTTTAACGTTTGTTAAATTATTCAGCATAACTTAAATTATCACCATGAATCTTTCTTTGAGAATCTTTCGTTTCCCAAATCACTAGATATTTCTTAATCTCGAAGTTTAACCATTGTGAAGAGAGGTCTCAATAATTCATGAAATATCTTGCTAGGAAAGAGAAAATTTTTTTTTTTTTCAAGATGTCTTGAGGTTTTAGTTTTTATATACAACATAGTGGTATTAAGAAGCAGAAAATATGAAATTGAAATGCATGCATATGATTTTTTTTCTGCTTTCAGAATATTATTTAATCAAAGTAGTGGACTCTGTTTATTCAAATGTTCATTAGGTGACAGAGAATTGAGACAATACTGACATAATAGAAATTTTAACAATGACACCTTTTTCTTGAAGTGAGAAAACAAATTATTTAGTACAAAAAAAAAATGTGATAAAATGTAAACGTTCCAGTTGATCCTTTCAAGGCCGAGGTACATAGGAATTCCCCTACAAATATCAACAAATCTCAACTTGAAACAATAACTTTGAAGATCCAAATTACACAGTTCTACATCGATTAATCATATTATTCTGATCGTTGTGGGTTTTTTTGACGTGAGATCCTTTGGGGCGACTGTGGTGTATGAAAATAAATTTAAAAAGTCTTTATCTCTCAATCCTCAATAATTGTTTATTTTAGAATGAAAGTGATGAAAGCTCAGCGGGGTCTTGAGGAATTTTAGCTTCTCTTTTTTTATTTTACTTCAGAAAATAAATATTAATGCATGAAATATGAATAAATCCTTCATTTTTAGAAAAGTTCAACTTTCTTTAACTAATAATCAAGCTTATTCCTTCTCACAATCAAAGTTAAAAGAAAAAATATGGTTGTTGAATAAATCCTTTAAGTCCCTTCTAAAGTAAATTCTTGCCGCAATTTCACATCTTCATAATTTCAATACGTGCGTTCTACCTTAGTTTCTATCTATCTTGATGTGTGTTAAATTACACAAAAAATGTTAATACGATATAAGACATGCAATGATTTAAGAAATTCTAAGTAAGCAAGGTGGTCTCTTTCAGAACACTCTTCCTGGTGCGTTGCCAATATATTTAATTAAATCAAGATTCATCTTAAAATTAACTTCAAAAAAGGATTCTGAAACTTGCTTATATATTAATTAGTAACACTAATTATTTTTAGATATATATATATATATATATATTTATTTATTTATTTATTTTTGTGATTATTTGGGTCATCGGTGCTAAAAATTATAAATTACATTAGAATTATTTCTCTCCATATATTTCTGATGTAATTTTTAAAAATTTTGTATATCTCACATGTTCTTAGGTTCAGACATCAACACATCGAATAAAACAAATCTAGCCCTCAAATCTCGATTATTTATCTTCCTCAAAAGTTCTTATTTAGGATTAAGTGAATAGACATGTTGAAATATTTTTAGACTACCAAGAACTGTAATCTTAAATTTTTAATAATATCACTGTAAAAGTCTTTCATAAACAACTAATAGGGTTAAGAAAAATAATTTTATTACTCAATGACCGATCCATCGGTAGATCAAAAAAAATTGGTGACTTCAAGGTCTGATTTGGTGGTCCCTCGGTACAGACCACTTTTTTATCAAATCATCCCTCTGAAATTTTTTGAATAGTTTCATGTAATCGTAACCTACAACATTTAATTAAATAATTAATAATTAGATTAATTAGTTAATGAAAATTCCTGAATACTCACTTGCTTTCCACTTGAATTGTAATAATATAATTTGGTCACAAAATCGAGAAAAAGGGTGGCCTACAAAAATATTGGGCCGTTTGGCATGACCTTCACTCTCAAATGTCAAAATAATAAGGTTATATACCTATTTTGTTTGTAAATGGGCCATGTTGATTATTTTTTCTTCATACTAGCTTCTAAATATATAAACAGTGATTCACATTATACACTTTCTCAATATCCATGAGTTAAGATGTAGTAAACAAAATAAAAAAAATTACAAGCATTTTTTGAGGAGTTCTCATATTATATCATGGTCAACCATCTCTACACCTCAAGGATTTTTTAATTTAGAAATGTTGACAGAATAATTTTATTGAAGTTTATGTATTAAAGATGTGACATTTACTGGATAAGACACTGGTTAATAGAGACAATTGTATAATCCGTACATCTCTGTTTTCATTTTCCTGTCTATTCAGATAATCTGTCACACTTTTTGGTCCTTTATGCACCTCCCGATTACGATGCTGCCATAGACAAATTTTAGATTCAGTTGAACTTCCTCGTCGATGAGGAGTGCTCCAGATTTTTCCGCACCCACTGTCGTCCATCTGAACCATTGTGATTTATATTTGTTTCATCTGGCCTCCAATCATCAGTTATCCAATTTTCATATTTTTTACTAAATTGCGACTGGAGTTTCCTGTGTCTTGGATAGAAGTGGCTTTTTGTCATTTAGTCATTCCATATACATCTGGTTTTTCAATGTTCTTCAGACAGCTTCAGTACTGCCGATAAGTCTCGTGTTCGTCCTGCATCTGTATTGACCTTGAACAGCTGTATTTATCATCCATTCTAATTAATCAGACCAATGATTACATGTTTCTTTCGGAATTTTTGTTTCGTAGACCTCCCAACATTTTTAGAGCTGTGTAGAACTTAGTATTCATATATTGGCTTACAGTTGAAACATTCATACCTTAAAGTGGCAATTAGCCTCATCGAGAATCTTTTTCTACCTACAGCCTAATGCTGTTTCTTATATAGGAAGAAATTGGTTCATCTTGCTTTTTACTTTCATAATGTTTTAAGTAATTCTTTCCATTGATAACTTTTAACACAATAACACTTTTAGAAGTATTTCACCTCACTTTATACTGGTCACAAAACTTACAATGAACAAACTGTTAATAAATTTTATTTATGTGTAAACAGTGATAAATCTCAATAATACTTAAAGGAATTAAACTTATAAATTGTTATTAACATGTAATAATGGATATAATTGTAGTTTTTTTTTTTTCCTTTAAATATAATGTAACACACATGTCATTGCAATCGTTTTTGAGTCAGTATAAAATAGGGTGGTATAGATTCTTTTTCCTGCTCAGAGGAAGGGTATATTTTATTTTAGATTTAGATTTCCATTAGATACTTACAATATACTGAAGATGTTCCTTTAGTAAAATGGACAGCCCTTATGCTACTAGGAGAGCAAAATTATATTGGACTGCAAGAGTACGCATAGCCATGATCAAGCAGGCGTTACTTAGGCATAGGGGGGGGGAATGCAACATATGTTGTTAACGTATTTAAAAATTAAAATATTGCTTTTAATATAGTTGCGACAAATATAATTCTGAAATTCCTTAGGCACATCGGATAATATATAAAGAAACTTTTTGTCTCGATAGTTTGAACAAACTATTTGTCTGTACCACTACAACCCATGAAGAGTCTTAGGTTCAGTACTTAGTAAGAAAGTACTGTTTCTTGACCAATGGTTGTAGAAGGCCAGAACGTGATTTGACAGAGGTCATGCTCAAATGCCAGGTTTTTCCTCTTAATTAATTATTTAATTAAGAGTATCCACTTTATTGAGGCTGGGTATGCCCCAGTAGGGTCGATCCACGGCTGATGAAACAGTATAAATAATTATCTCCTATCAGCCAGATTCGAACCCGGAACCTTGAGCTTGAGCTTGAACAATGCTCTACCCACTAAGCTCCATCGCTCACAGCTCTTTATACTTATAAAAAGAAATCAGATATGGCTCCATTTATCCATACGAAAATTAGCATGAATTTGGGGGCCTATACTATACACAAAATGGCACAAACCAGAACCCCGCAAATAAATTAGACTTGGAGATAAAAATAAAAACGTTTGGAGAGTTTTTATTTATTTATTCCTTATAAAGGCGTAAAATCTAAAAGTTATTGATATAGTTTTGAAGAGCAATAATTTAGCTTTCCAACGGTTGTAGTAACATCAACTTAAGAGAAAAACCTGAGGAGTTATGTATATTTTAGTAAACAGCATGAATAAAAAATCCTCCCATAAAACTATGTCCAAAAATTTATATTTTTTTATTTCAAAATAACCTCCTATTTAAGAGTTTTAGGAATCTGAATTGTTTTTCATGAAAACAATTACTTGAACTACATGACTAAGCCTCTATGGGTTTTTGTAATTTATTATAGTTAATGATTTGTTTAATACAATTAGCAATATATTTTTCTTATTTTACACAAAAAATTAAATCGATTGATATATAATAACTTATAAATCCCCGCAGAGCAAAATTAGAAAATAGTAACATAAAAACAATAAAATTTTGTAAAACATTTTTTTTTTCGGCTCCTAGGGCTCATTGGCAAGAACCCTCGGACATCGGTAAAATATTTTTCGACCTAGTATCATCAAA